TCAGTTGGACGGTATAATCTCGCACAGCCATGAGGAGTCATAGGACTGCCTCCCCACCAATCACGGACGCAACAACTTCTTCCATCACCCCACTGGAAAGCTAGAAATATATAAGAAAAGAAAGACCACATTGAAACTACAAGAATTTCTAAAGAAAAAAAAGATTTAAACATCAATTGCAATAAGACAGAATGCATGTTTATCAGCAAAAGGAGGAGTTCACAATGCAACTTACAAACTGGAGATAATTAAATAAAGCAATTAGAACACTTTAAATATTTGGGAAGTGTTTTAACAAAGAACGGAAAGTGTAGCACCGAAATACAAAGGAACATTGGAATAGAGAAAGATGCCTTCCAGAAGTTAAGAAAAGTAACAGAAAAATTTCGTTCCAGCCAAAGAAAAGAGTACTGAACTGTTATGTAATACAAGTCCTCCTATATAGTAGTGAATGCTGCACAATTTCATCACAGATGAAGAAGAGACTTGAAGCAAGAGAAACAAAGAAAAGAGCACTGAACTGTTGTGTAATATCAAGATGTCAGTGAATGCTGGACAATTTTCTCACAGATGAAGAAGAGACTTGAAGCAACAGAAATGTGGTTCTGCAGAAGGATGCTGAGGATGCCATGAAACAAACATCTAAGCAATAAACGAAGTTTTAGAGAAAATGAAAATAAAAATGATATTCATAATTAACTTCAGGAAGAGTTGAAATTTCTAGGGTAATATTACGAGAAATGATGGCTTGGAAAATTTGATACTCATAGGACAGATTGAAGGCAAGAGAGGCAGATGAAAACTATATAGTGGCCTTGAGAAAATGGATGGTGGAATAAGATTTAGGAGAGATAAGGAAAAGACAAAGTTTATTAATTTATAAAAGACAGGAAAATGTGGAGAGCCATGGCCGTCTACGTTCTGAAGGGACATGGTACATAAAGAAGAATAAATACTTATTTTCAACTCAACAATCTCTTTCCTACAGACAAAATGTTGCAATGTTGTCTCTAATCTCTTGCTATTTCTATGCACATGTTCAGATTAGCGCCCCATTCTTTTTAGTTCTATCGGTTCATAACTTTCCCATTAGGACACGCCATGCTACATCCATGCATTTGAATCACCCACATTTCCTTCAGTTCCAAATGTGAGAAGAAAGTTCCACTCAGACTGTCCCCCAAAAACTTCTACTTTGTGGAAAAGGACTCCGGCGTAGATGCTTTCCTAAACACTTCCATTTTGATTTCTTCAATTCAAAAGTCACTTTTTACCTACCCTCCTTATCTTTTTAGTCTCCACTTCATACTACAATAACATATAACAAAGCATAACCTACTTAGTGAGCTCGAGCAAATGGATGGGGGAACAAGAGAGATAACAAAAAGATAAAATTTATTAGAAGTTTAAGGACAGGAAATTGTGGAGAGCCATGATCCGCTACGTTCTGAAACGACACGGTACATAAAGAAGAAATACTTATTTTCAACTCTGAAATTTCTTTCCTACAGACAAAACATCGCTACTCTATTGATATTTCTATACACATGTTCCTATTGGCGCTTCAATCTTTATTTCTACCAGTTCATGCATTTACCATTAGGACACGCCATGGTACAGTGACGCAGTTGAATCACCCTCATTTCCTTCATGTTCCAAATGTGAGAAGAAAGTTCCACTCTACTCTTTTTGCCGAAAATTCTACTTTTTCGAAAAAGGACTCCCGCGTGGTTGCTTTCCTGCAAAATTCCGTTTTAACCTCTTCAATTCAATGGTCAATTGCTATCTACCCTTTTCATCCTCATAATCTTCACTCAATACTACTTTATCTTTTATTCATATCACACGTTATATATCACTACCTTGAGTGGCTCCCGAGCTTTCTCTTGCGTGAAATTTAATAATAATGATAACAATAATACGAAAATACTTTACAATATTCGTTACAAGGAAAGACTGAAAATGCATAAAGTCATTATTATACAAAATAAATATTTCATCAGGAGGCGGTATATTTTAATGTGTATAAAATATTTAATATGCAATATAAGCTAAGAATAATATGCATAAATATTTTAGACTTCCTTCTCCGAGCTCTGAGATACCGTTTTACACGTGACGTTAGTTATACTATGCGAGTATATTTGAATTAATTGGAATTCTATCTTTCAAGAAATGTCAGGACTTATCGACCAAAGTCATCTCTACCATGGCAACAACACCCAATTCTTGATAATGACTAAGACAGTCGAAATACTTCAAATAGCATACATCATAATTTCGAGTAACTGCCTCATAAAATAAATACCTAACAAGGGACACAATTGTTGTGAAAAACAAATCTGGATTTGAATAGAAATCGATGATACCAGTAGAAAATCTACAACCATCTTTGCCAACATGCTGATTCTAAGAAATTTCTCCCTAGTCTGACACAAGGCCACCATAAATGTTGGCATTAAGTAAAGCCTGAAAAATATGATCCTGTAGCCATTAAGGACAGTGTCGGAAGTTGACTGTGATTCGAATGAAGATTTTCTGGGTACTTGCGAAGTTTAATCGGCATCAATCTGACGTGTACCTTCAGAACGTTGGCGATCATGACTCTCCACAACTTCCTCTTCTTTGTCGCTCTTAATAAATTTTGTATTTTTTCCCATCTCTCCTAAACCCTGCTCCGCCATCCATTTACTCAAGCCTGCCAGGTATGACTTGCGTCCCTTCCGTCTGTCTCTCCTACCGTCAATCTGTCCTGTGAGTATCAAATTTTCCAAACCTTCTTTCCACATTATGTGCGCCCAAAATTTCAACTATCTATTCTTGATATTAAATATGTTTTTTTTTTTCTCTTGGTACTACGCTTATATTCATGCGGTCAAGACACGAAGGTGGGAGCAATATTTATTTTTGAAAATACTAAAAATGTGGCTCATTTCCATGATATGGCGGGAAATGTGGAAGCTCAAAAGGGATCCAACCAGGAGTTTAACAGTCTATGGAGGTTTAACTAGTCTCAAACAGAGAATGATTTTTCGTCGAGTGTGAGCCGACACGCCAGACGTGATTTCGTCTCTTCCTGTCCAGAGAAGTGGTGATAGACCTGTCTCACCACACAAGTTGGTTTTTGGCTGGTCACAAAGTCTGGCATTTTCTGGCCGCCGACATCCAGGCAGTTAGGATGTCGATGAAGGCCTGACGATCTAACATTATATCGAAACTCCATCGCCCATTTAAGTAGTCAGAGGTATCACCCAGTATCTGACCATATTCCTCCAGGTAGACTGTCAGGTATTCACCTAATACTGAAGAGGAACCTCAGATACTGTGACTGTGATCTTTCGCCTGTCTTCTTACTCGGTCCCGATGATATCTTCAATTATCAGCTCAGGGCTGACAGCGGCCATGCAATTTTCAGGCGATGGCAGCAGTACGTCTTGAATGAAAAAAAAGAAGTGCCCTTTAACATTCTTTGGGTTTTAACCCCAAAGAATATCAGCGCCATCATGACGGTGATTTCGTAATGCAACAAATGTTGTAGGAACGCTTGTCCACTATGAAGACTGACACAATTGTTTACTCAACTTTCTGTAAATTCTGTGGGTTCTACCAAATCACTATCTTGTTTAATTAGATTTTCATAAGTTTTGACAATACGCAACAACTCCGCAATGTTGATAATTCATTCCACCATGAATTTTAGCAAAGAGGGCGATTCCCAAGTCACTGTACTGTCATTAATTTGATTCATCTCCAGCTTTGTTCTCTTGCCTATTTTTGCCACGAATGTTTTGTTGTCTTTATTTCTGTTGTCATTCTAATTTTGGCAATTTTGGGCCACTATATTTTGGTTTCGGTATTCCTCTTTTGTCCCCTCTTTGTCCACCATATAGTTTTCTTAAACCAGTTGCCAGGTCGGCCGTTCTTCGGGGCCACCCCAAAGAGATGTTTCTTTACAGGCCCACATTTGTCAGCCATAATAAGATTCTGCTTTATTCAAAAATGGTATTTTTCTTCGGCCAGCACAATTTTTTCTTTTCTATAAAAGACTAAAGAAAAAGAAGCCACGGAAAACGAAATTGAATCAAAATATAACGAAGGAAATAGAGAAAGTATTGAAGTTTTCTGTAAAAAGAAAAGAAATTTTACAAAAACTAAATGCTACAGTAATAATTAACTCAATGAAAAAGAAAATAAATGTCAAATGCAGGGCCGAGAGCAAAGTGAATGTCTAAAGGGAAAAAACAATAAAAACATACTTTGTTCTCAGAGAGACTTTTATATCACTAAGGCATACACAAACAGATATATATATATATATATATATATATATATATATATATATATATATGTTACATGCAGAAAACAATATATCACATATATCTACACAGCAAAGAAAAGTAGAAGGAGAAACAAAAAAGAAAGGTCTTACGTATAATATGGAGATTCTCCTGGCCAGGAGAAGCCATTTTAGGACTCCAGATTCGAACGGGTCGGATTCATCTATCTCCCAAAGGTAAACAACAAAGCTTCTTGAAAGCTTCTGGGGGCACAGATTTAGAAAGCAAACTTACCGTTTGGTTGCTGCGCGCGAACTGAAAAATAACTACCACTTTGGTTACTGTATGAAGTGACGTCCCGAAGCGAACATCATGTGACTTATCTCCAAAGAGAGTTAGGCGTCTTTTGTATTCTTACATGGCAATTAATTCATTATAATCACCCCACTCCATTTCAATAGAAAAAAAATCAAGAAGACGCAATAGAGGTTAGGTCTCCTGGAGGTTAGCATCAGCCATGCTGATAGAAGACAAAAATGAGGATTAGAGGACAACAGTTTTGTTCTGGGGGCGTTAAAATATACAAGCTATTTCTTGCCACTGTTATATTAAAAATAACTGGCCTATCTGATTTCCAAAGAAATTATTAGAGCAGAGATGGCTGGAGCATGTCGGTAAAATTGTTTTCTCTTTCTAGCAGTACAGTTTCTAAAATCAGGTTTACGGCTACATTATGTTGAAACACCGGTTCCCGTACATTCACCAGAGTTAAGCAACGTCGAGCCTAGTAAGTACCTAGATGGGTGACCGCTTAGGAATGCCAGCTGCTGTAAGCTGGGATGTGCAGTAATGGTTAATGGTAAGGAATAGGAAAGTTGAATCCCAAGCCCATTTGAGCTTGTTGTATTGACTTAAGAAGCAAATACCTTTGGGAAAGGTATGAATCTACTTCTTTCTCTCCCATCTATGGGTTAATTAGTAAGTCCTGTATCAACCCCTACCAAAAAAAAAATTACGTACAATATATTTAGATTTCGAAAACAAATAGAGGTTGATATATCGCTAAACCAAAGCAACCATGAAAGCAACTCTGAAATCACGTTGACATTACTCGACCAACGTTAAACCAACTCTGATTAGCATAATTCTGGGCAGAATGTTTTACAGATTCTGCTGGATTTTGTCAGAGGCAGAATAGGCGGGAAACGGAAGAATTTTCAAAAGTTTTGTTTTCTGTATAGGATAATTTCATTTCTAGTTCCATTCGTGAATTATCATCACCGCATTTCGACGTAGATCCGCTAGACTTTTGGATTTGATAAATGGTCAAATATTTTAACCCTTGAAGAATTGTACCACTGAGTAATAAATCGACTCATGGGCACCTCAAGGTGGCGTAATGGTTAGCAAGCTTGTCTCGATAGAACAATTACGAATGAGTAGTGAGTTCGATCCTCACTGGATGCCCCATACTTTCGGCCTTGTGCCACATCTGAGCTACGCTTGGAGTATCACTATAAACCGACTCATGAATTCGGATTTACTTTACAAGCGGTCCAGTGCTACACGCTGCTTCAACATTCCTTCTTGTTAACACAGCCTGGAGCTTTGCAGCTTGGAACAACACCGACATGTCCCCAGCTCTTTTTCACCGTACCCTCGCCGCGAACAATGAGTGGAATAAAGATTGTATACAGTCTGGCATAAGGCCATTGTATCGTGACAAACAGTAATGATAGCATTTATTACATTGTTGAATTGGCCATTAAAAAAACAGCTGCAAAAATTATTTACATGTTCTGGCACATGGCTAGTATTATTGAGCACCTACTGGGGATTGAAAGCTTTTTAGACATTGGTTTCCTGCAGATATGTACTCTGGGATATTGAAACCGGACTTACCACGACTGGGTTTTCCCAAGTCTACCCAGTAATATTTTCCTAGTTCAAGAATTGTTTCCAATTCGACCAATTCCATGTCATTTTTAACTGAATGCAGGACACCTCCTCTTTCTCCACAGATTTCCGCGGCCCTCTGTTTGGTCACGAGCTGCGTATCGGTATTGAAACACGTCATATTAGAACGAACCCATTTGACGGCCGAGTTACCTGCAAAGGATCATGGGAAAATATGGCGTCGGTTACAAAGTGAAAGAAATTTAAAAAATACATTATTCACTATTTTGAATTAAGCACGAAATGTCTTCGAATTTCTAGATTGATTGAAATATGATTTTTTTTTTGTATCTAGTAATTTGTTTTACTCCAAACATAAATTTCGTAATAATTTTTTTTTTATGATTTAATTTGTGTAATCGATTTAGTTGATATTTATGTATGTAATCTACTTTAAAGAAAATGATCTACATGCACAACTTTACTTATGTTACGCCGAAGTAGCAGCCAGTGAATGAAGCTTCCGGTGGATGGATTTTGTATATAAACAATATGGTTCTGATGAATGATCAAGAGTGGTCTCCCCTTGTTTTGTTACACTCCTCTTTGACAGTGCTATTTCTGTTTACTGTGACTATAAATTTTTTTCGTACAAGAAATTTTTACAATTCCACCAATTCCATGTCATTTTTAACTGAATGCAGAACAACTCCTCTTTCTTGACAGATTTCCGCGGCCCTCTGTCTAGTCACACTCTTCGTATCGGCATTGAAACACGTCATAGAAGAGAGAACCCATTTAACGGTCGACATACCTGCAAAGGATCATGGGAAAAATATGGCGTAGGTTACAAAATGAAAGAAATTAAAAAAAAAAATTACTCACTAGTTTGAATTAAGCATGAAATGTCTTCGAATTCATAGTTTGATTGAAAAATAATTTTTTTGTGTGTGTGTGTCTGGTAATTTGTTTTAATTCAAACATAAATTTCGTAATACGTATTTTAATTATTTAATTTGTATAATCGATTAAGGTGAAACTTATGTATGTGATCTACATTAAAGAAAATGATCTACATGTGCAACTTTACTTATGTAGCATTGAAATAGAAGCCAATGAATGAAGGCTTCCGGTGGATTTTGTATATAAATCAGGACTATTTTGTGTGTGTATATATATATATATATATATATATAGAGAGAGAGAGAGAGAGAGAGAGAGAGAGAGAGAGACCAGGCCTATTTTGTATATATATATATATATATATATATATATATATATATATATATATATATATATATAAACCAGACCTATTTATTAAAAATTAGTTATTTATTCCATTTCTGAATGATGTTCATATTCATTATAGACAGCGATAATATCAGTTAAAATAATAATTTCATTTAGTTTCTTATGATATGCTTGTTATGAATAATCAAAAGTGGTCTACCCTTGTTTTCTTAATCTCTTGTTTGAGAGAGTTATTTCTGTTTACTGGGACTCTAAAAGGACACTATACGCGAACCTTGTTTCTCAGTTCAATCAAGTTTTCTTAAAGTCTACACCTGCTTACTTTTGTCATTACAATGGTATCATTTGTTTAGTATATGATAGCATATTAAGTAAAGAAAACCTTTTCTTTTTTGTCATATTCCGTATAGATCTATTTTTAATGTATATTTTAATGTAGAGAATTTGTCTAAGCGTGGAGATCACATGAAGTTTAGAGCTGCGTTGATCTGGTAGATCAGATTCAGAAGGCAGACAACAGACTTAAGTAGCACCTCGATCCATCTCTATTATTTAATAGCTAATAAGCAATTGCTTTAACAACATCCACAAAAATCACTACAACCACTACTACTATTTTAATGATAATAATAATAATAAATCGCCCACACTTTGGGAGCAAAGACCACAATAACAGAATGGGTTTCTTATTGACATGACTACTAGAAAATTGTAATATATCTTTGAAGATATTCAAAAACTGTCAAAATACAAGGAAATCTCAAAAATGTGTCACATGAGGACATCAATAATTTCAGTTGTTGTTGGAGCCTTCGGATTGATTGGCAAAAGTCCCGATAGACTCATTGAAGGGATTTCTGGGAGCCCAATGCCTTAAAGAAATACAATAAATTGAATTCCCAAGTACATCTCTCACATCACGGACGAATTTATCTATGTAAAATGTATGTGATCATATTTTTTGTTTTTAAAAAAAAATGACAGTGTAAAAGGTCATGAAGCCATCTCTAACCTTAAGCCTCTGGTTGGGAGCCGGAAAGGAATGTGTATTCAACAGAAATCAAAGGAAATAATAATAATAATAATAATATTTAAAAATATATCTTTTGGCGTCTAGTAGGTTTAGAGATGACCGGAAAAGTATAACTTTTACTACTTTGCTTCTACCCCTTTGTTTAAGGAATTATTTGATATCCCCCCTACCAATCTGTAGTATAAGTCCAGCCTACCCCATAAAATTTGATAAGTATCTGTCGTTGGCGACGGAAAATTGAACATTTGTGGAAAGTCACTTTTGCCATGCTCCGAACTTCCTGTAGTTTGCTATGATTGTAAATTCTTTTGACTCAAGTTAATTCTTTCCTTTTCAGTTCCCTTTTCTCTTTCCCCCCTTTTTTAAGTCTATATACTAAAATCTGATTCTCCTCCTTGGAGTGGTCACTCCGACTTATACTAAGTTAAAACTCAGTATCGTCTACCCCACTGAATACCATACACTCTTATGAACTATTCTACCTTCGTTATATTAATAAATCCACAATCTCATTGTTTGGGCGTGCTCTTGGATCTTCTTCGAGACTCGTCCTAAAGCTGGTAACCTGAACATAATTACCCCTTGGCGGTCAAGGTTAAAACGCATCTCTACCAATTTCAATGAATACGAATAATACTTCATACCGGATCGGCCGTCAACCGGGACAAGGGCCGCGTCACCCAGAGAGGAACCAGTCTGAGGACGAAAAGTCTGCCACTGGAACAAACTTTTCCACACACGAAGAGACACTAGGTCACCAAACCCGGATTATTGCCAACCTTGGACCAAGTGACTCAATACCAAATCGACTAATAAAAAGTAAACGAACGAAATGGAGCCGCGAAGAGTATCGACAAGTCATGACATCCTTCTTCACTGCACTCGAAAAACCCAGCAAAAAGAACACCACCAATCAAACATACCAAATATGGAGAAGTATGGTGGGAAATGATATAAAACCTAACCTCAATCCAAACATGCTTGCCAATGTCCGTAGGGACATCATGCGAAACAACAGACTCTCAAAGGCAGAAATAGATAAGATAAAATTAGATATAAGACAAAAAACTATGACCCATCACTCAAACTCTATAATGTAGAAATAAGAAATGCAACAGAGGATGAGGTGGACGCTAAAGCGAATGAAATACGAAATAATCTCCCAGGAAATGAAACCTAAGACTCTACCGTAAACACAACCTGCAGTTCTCCAGAAAATGTACCTGGAGTCATTTTCAGTGACAATAAGTTAGAATTCCTTGAAGACCACGAAGCTGAAATCACCGAAGCAAAAAATGACGTCATCCAAGTACTCAGCAGAGTAACATTTATACAATTGTCAGACAGAGACCAGTTCCCGAAAATCCATATGACGAATTCCAACAAGCACATCGTGAAAATATACAATGCTGCTCTGGAAACACTGTTAACAGATAAACCACCGGGAAACATCACAGAAGTTAACAACGTCATATATGCAACAGCTTTAGCAGCGACTCGGCAGCTTGGGGTCAAGACAATAAATAAAATTAGCAGACACAGAGAACCAGCTTGGAAAACCAAACTGATACGAGAAATAAAACAAATCAGATGTGAGCTTTCTATATTAGATGAGCTCACCAGAAACCCTAATATTTCCACATGTAAATGCAAA